AATGCGCGGGCCGTGAGTGCGTGAGGACAGCAAAATGTGTTTCCTCAAATATTTTGGCCCGTCAGACTGACCAAGACACATTTTAGACTGACCACCGCTGTCGGCACACGCAGCTGTGAGCGTCGCGCGCGCGTGTCCTCAAGTGTGTCTGTTCAGAGACGGCACAGCTGAGAGACCGCTGCCCTGATCCACAGGCCGAGCCGGGGACGGCGGAGGCGGCCATTGGGCACCGTCGTGCGCCGCAGCTGCCCCAGTCACGTCGGCCCGGCGCCTCGAGGGAGCGCCGCCTAGAGGAGCGCCGCCGGCCACGCGCCTCGAGCGACGGCGTCGTCCCGACTCGTCGCCGCGACGACGAGAGAGGAGCGCTGCCTGGCGCGCAGGCAGCGAGCGCGCTCGAGGTGACCGAGCTGATCCGCGTGTGGCCGCTACGCGACGCCGCATCTCGCACGGATGACGCCAGAAGCTCGCACGACGGCGCGGGAGCGCGCGGCTGGCGGGAGTGCGTGCGATAGGGTGCCAGAAGGCAGGCCGAGCATCGCCAGCGCGGCTCGAGGCCGTTGCCCGGGCCCCGCGGCGGGTCGAGGAGGCGCTCGCGGAGGCGACAGGAGCGCGCGGCACAGCTCCCAAACGACATCGATCTCGGACCTGAGGAGAGGAGGAGGCGGGCGTCGGTGCACCCTGAGGGTGCCTGCAAAGCGGCAGGTCCGAGATCGATGTCGTTTGGGAGCTGTGAGGTGTCGGAGAGCTCTCGAGGTCTCGACGGGCAGCCTGACCCCTCTCGGTGCATCTGTACATCTCTGCACGCCGCCATGCTCGCCTTCGCTCTTCTCGCGACGCCCTCAACCGCCGCCTCTCGCCCCCGTCCGCGGCGCGAGGAGGCACTCATCGACACGCGCAACCGCACCGACTTCAGCATCAAGCTCCCGACCGACGCGCCGGCACCCGCCCTCGCGGCGTCTGCCTCGCGCAAACCCAACAAGGCCGCGGGGCTCCTGCTCCACCAAGACGTCCTCGGGGGTGAGGGGGCGCTGTTCGGTGCCTGTCCGGACGTCGGCACCTTCCATCCAACCTTCTCCATCCCGTTCAACATCTCCAAGTTCAGCGGCGCCGCCTCGCGCGCCGCCGCCCCGACCACCCTAAAGCCCATCGGCGCCGCGGCCGACGCCGAGCCCGCCTCTTTTGACGAGGCCAAGACTGGCGACGCTTCGCTCGCCGACTCCACCGCCAACTCCGTCGGTCTCACGTGCGGCAGCGGCGGCGCCCCTGTGTGGTGCGCGGAGCCGTTGCCGCTCGCCGAGCTCTGCGTCTCTGAGGATCCGATCGAGGCCTCGGGCTCCACGAGCAGCAGCACCCCTGACGCGCCCGTGGAGGCAACAAATGGGGTGCTGCTGGCTCCCTCGGCGGGCGTTTGGCGCTTCGATGGCTTCCTGTCAAATGCGCAAGTCGAGCACATCCTTTCACGCATGCCGTCCGACGACAGCTCATGGCATCCGTGCGACCCGCACACGCCTTCCTCTTTCAGGGAGTGTGCGCACGTGCCTGTGGGCAGTGACCCGACGCTGCTCTCCCTCCTGACCCAGATCGGGGCAGTGTGGGGCGCCGACACGAGCGGAATCGCCTCCCTGCCGGTTGTCAGGCTCAAGCCCGGGGCGCCCGCCCTGCCCCCGCACGTCGACCATTATCCGGACGGCTCAATCCCTGACGTGACGATGCTATTCCACCTGTCCGACACGCCTGAGGGCGTGGCGCAAACCCTTTTCCCCGGACTCGGCTTGTCGGTGCAGCCAGTGGCTGGCACCTTGCTGACCTGGCTGAATGTCGGCACGGACGGGCCGCATCCAGAAGCTGTCCACGCTGTTGACGCGCTGCCGGCGGAGTCTGGCAGCCGCCTCGTGCTTCAAGTGCCAGTGCAGCTCCACCCGGCGGGCAAACCGACTTCGTACCACCGCACCGCTCACGCGTCCCATGTCGGGGGTTATGGCTGCCCCTTCTGCACAGGCCGCTGCGAAAAAGCTTCTTCGGTTGGGCGGGAACTGCTCTTCGCCAGCGTGCTGACGCCAACGGCCAGGGGCGCCGCAAGTCTAAGCTTAGACTCCGGGCTCCAGTGCTTCGAGGTCTTGAACGATCCTAAACAAATCTGCTGGACAAGGAGCATGTTTACCCGTCCGTGCGGGCGGGACTGGAGATATTCGAAGATCAGTAACTGTACGTCCGTCGAATTTCCCCCGTGCGAACGCACAACTGGAGACCGTCCTGGCGATTGGGGAGATTGTGGCAAGTCAGGACGTGGGACTGCTCAGTCAATCGTCAATGCCTGCGTCCCGAGTAACGTCCCGCCTTATCTCAACGGCGAGTTCGATTGCAGCGTCCAGTACACCACCTTGAAACCCGCTTGCTGCGACACGGACGACACCTGCGTTCTAAAGGACCGCCGCTGGGACTAGGAGTAGCTGCGCGCGACGGAGACGGGCGAGCCAGTGGCAGTGGCTCGCTCCTCTACGGCGTAACGAGACGCGAATCACGCTGCGCCGCATTCTGTTCAGGATCGAGACCGACGGGAAGGTGAACGAGTACCGGTACTACGGCGTCGCGCGCCCCTGGGCCGAGCTGGGCCACCGCGGATCGGAGCTGTCGGCGCGGATCGGGGCGGACAACGCGATCCGCCGCGCGCTCCACGAGGATCTCTCGCGCTAGGCGACGAAATTGCGGTGTAGGCCGGCGCGCGTGCGGAGATCGTCTGATGATCGAGTCCGCTGGCGTTGAGGAACTAGCGCTCAGTGCAATCACACTGGGACTTGTGGGCGGTGTAGTTTTCATGCTTGGCGTTGTATCTGGGCTAGCCACCCGATTTGCCATCGCCAGGGCGCGGGAAGCCTTGTACTGTGCACATTCTGCTCCCATGTGCAAGTAAAATTTTATCCCGTCCCGCGCCCGGCTCCCGTGGGAACGCGTGTCCAGATGCTCACGGCCGCGAGCCCGTCAACAATCGCGTCTTGAAAGGCCCCTTTCTTTCCAGTGCGTGGACATTGTTGAGCCACGCTCTCGAGTCGGACGGCTTTATACCCGGACGTGTGTGCAACGACCGAGCTGAGCCCTGGTCTGACAGACTGACAGCAAACCCCGGACAGCGCCTGACAGTGCCCGACAGCCTGACAGCGCTGACAGCACTTTCTCTGACAGTCTGACAGCACGTATCTGACAGCCTGACAGCAGAGCCTGACAGGCGAGGTGACCCGTCGCTGTCAGGCCCTAACGTGACAGCCTGACAGCTGCCTGACAGCCCGACAGCACACAGTGGCCTGACAGCAGCGCTGACAGCCTGACAGCAGCACAGACCGTACACAGATTCCGTAGAGCCTCTTTCTATGCCCCATGAGGGTATAACAAAATTACATGCAAAGACATGTACATGTGAGTGTGGTCCATGTCCATGTAGTCATGGGATGGTCATGGGTCTCTCTCTCAACCCTCCCGCCCCACCTCTGCGGACCTCTCTCTAGCACCGGCGGCTGTGCTACTACAAATGAAGCTACCAGCTAGCCTTCTGGGGCCCTACAGTCATATGCCTACGGCGTCTGGGTGGGGGTGGCCGCCGCCGTCTGTGCCGCCGCCGCCGCCTGTGCCTCTGCGCCGCCATCTGCGCTCCCCAGGCGGCCGCCCCTGCCGGCGTGATCACGCCGTAGGGAGGGGGGCAGCTGCGTACCCGCTGGTCTTGATAGTGTCATAAGTGTGGCTGGTGTGTGTCAGAGCCTGACAGCACCCCGACAGCTAGGGCAGCCCGACAGCACCACCTGACAGCACCTGACAGTAACAGCCCAACGTCTGACAGCAGCAGCAGCCTGACAGCTCTGACAGCTCCGACAGCGTCTGACAGCAACACCCGACAGCTCCGACAGCACCCGACAGCTACAGATCACCTCGCCTGTCAGACACGCACCCGACAGCACCTGACAGCACTGACAGCACCTGACAGCTGGTCTGACAGAGGCACCTGACAGTGCCTGACAGTGCCCGACAGCCCGACAGATCACCTGACCGCACCTGACAGCCTGACAGCCAGGGCTCAGCGACCGAGGTGCGAGGACGGTGTACGGCTCTAGAAGGCGGAGGTCATCATGCTATCTGTATGTAGAAAGATGAACAACAGTCAGGCTCGGACTGGACACCAACGCGGTATGGGTGGACGCGGGACAGATGATGACGACACGCACGAGCAAGCAACAAACACACTCACACAGACACAAACAAGCTCACAAGACACACAGCCAGCTGGCTGCCACACACCCTGAGTTGGCGTACACATAACTCAAGGCCACATTCTTCCTGTCGCCCCCCCCAGCACTCCAAGGTGCCAAGAGAAACAAACAAGGGCACAACATCACTATCTGTGTGGTTCCGTCTAGCGTTTTTCTTGTGTGAACCCTTTTAAATCCTCCGCCCCAGTGCGTGGACATTGTTGAGAGCCACGCTCTCGAGTCGGACCACGGACGGCTTTATACCCGGACGTGTGTGCAACGACCGAGGTGCGAGGACGGTGTACGGCTCTAGAAGGCGGAGGTCATCATGCTATCTGTGAGTGTGACACACACACACACACACACACACTCATGCTATCTGTGTGGTTCAAGCAGCGTTTTTCTTGTCTGAACCTTTTTAAATCCTTGGAGCACTTGGACACATTGGGCTTTTGGCACTGAAGAGCGACCACGAGAAATACGGGCGTTTTCGCTGAGTCCTGAGAGTCAAGCGAGCAAAAAGTCGCCGCACCTGCTCGGCCTTGAGTCGCGCCTGGTCTCTTGAGAGATTTTTAGCAATACCTTAAACAGAGGTTACAGGCGCGGGGTAAGATCGGTCGTTCAATACCAAACAACTCTAACACTCACGGTGGTTTGTCTCTTTCTTGTGGAATCGCGTGCGTGTGTGTGAGTGAGTATTCTTGACACACACACACACACACACACACACACCCCTCTGCCAATCAGTTTCTTCCGTGGCGCTCGTTCAACTGGCTACCCAGGGCCCACCGCCGCCGCGCGCCTCCCCTGCTGCCGTTCCACCGCCGACTCGCCCTCTCCTTCCACCCCGCAGGATTTGCGGCGAGCCCGATCGAGAGACGGACGAACCACGATGGCAGAGCCGCTCCAGCCTCCGGACAGCGAGATGCCGCGGAGGCGCCGCGCCTCGGCCGCCTCACCCCGTCGCCGCCGCCCGGGCCCGACCGCTCCGCCCGCCCCGCCCGCGCAGGAAGCTCAGCTTCTCTGACAGCGACGGCCTCAGCACCTCGACGAGCGCTGCGCCCGAGCGGATGCAGGCCTTCGTGCGGCTGCGGCCGCTGAGCGGGAAGGAGGCGCGCGCGACGATCGCGACGACGGAGACGGACTGCACCATCTCGCTCAACAAGCCGTCGGCGCAGGGCTACGGCACCATCGAGGAGCACTCCTTCTCCTTTGACGGCGTCTTTGGCCCGGACGCGTCGCAGCCAGAGGTGTACGAGGCGGTGATGCGGCCGCAGGTGCAGGCGCTGCTGGAGGGGCGCGACACGCTCACCTTTGCGTACGGCATCACCAACGCGGGCAAGACGTACACCGTGCAGGGCGGCGCCGCCCCCGAGCAGCGCGGCGTGCTTCCGCGCGCGCTCTGCTCCATCTTTGGCGCGCGCGACAGTTCCGAGACACCTCCGAGACACCTCCGAGACACCTCCGAGACACCTCCGAGACGCCTCCAGTCCGGCCTCCCCACCGCGCGCCTCGTCGCGCGCACGCGCGCCGGCGCCGCCGCACGCCCGCCGTCGTGCCCGCCGTCGTGCCCGCCGCTTGCCCGCCGCTTGCCCGCGCCGCGACGTCTCCGCGACGTGTCCGCGTCGTGTCCGCAGGCGCCCTCGACGCACTGCGCGCGGGGGGAGAGGCGGCGGCGGGGTCGAGGCTGGACCCGAGCTGCTCGTACAAGGTGGCGGCCTCCTTCCTCGAGATCTACGGCGCCGAGGCGCGTGCCGCTGCAGATTCCGACACCCGTCCCTCTCTCTCCCGAGTTCGCCACCCGCGTCTCTCCGGTTCACGGCCCACACAAAAACACAGCCCCGGACCCAAGACGCACGAGCACAGACAGTCGAGAAGGGAGAGAGACAGCGACGGCAGTCAGAAGTCAGCGCTGGGTACCAGGAAGGCGAATGCGAGGACAGCCTCTAGTGCGAGCTCGAGTTAGTGAGCTCATACGCACTATCGGTTCACGGTTCACGGGCTGCAGCTGTGCTCCGTTGTCGTGCTAGCCCTTGTCTCCACCGAGTATGCACGGCAGGAGGTGTCTCACTCCCCGACACCCCCGCCCCCCCCGTGGTGTGCTCAGGCGCACGACCTCCTCGCACCCGCAGAGAAGGTTGGCGGCTGTAGATGCGGAGAACAAGCCCCCTCGCTCCCGCTACACTCCCGCTAAAGAAGCTTGCGGCTACGCCAGGGGGAGCGGAACCCGTGAACCCAGGGGTGTGCACACAGGGGTGTGGGGGTACACGAGGCTGAGCTCACCGCCCGTCCGCTGAACTCTTCGCCCTCGCCACTCTCTCCAGGCGGGCAGCTGGTGGCAGGGCATCCGCGGGCGCGGCCCTGTGCCGCTCCGCATCAAGGAGGGGGGCGGCAAGGTGGCGCCCGCGCCCGCTCTCTCTCGCTCTTCCCCGCTCCCGCCCTCTCCCTCCAACCCCCCGCCGTCCTCTCCCTTCTCAACCCCCCCCCAACCCCCCCCTTTCTCCCCCCCCCCCCTTCAAAAACTCCCCCCAATCTCCCCCCCCCAAACTCTCCCCCAAAGGTGTCGGTCGACGGGCTCAAGGAGGCGGTGTGGGCGGACCTGGCCGAGGCGCTCGCGGCCGTCGAGTACGGCTGGGCGAACCGCCAGTCCGCGTCCAACGGCGTGAACGACGTCTCGTCGCGCTCGCACGCGGTGCTGAGCATCAAGCTGCTGGTCACCCCCACGGGCGAGTCCAAGCCCAAGGTGACGAGGCTGACTGTTGTCGACCTCGCCGGTGCGGAGGAGCAGAGGGAAGGGAGGAGCAGAGAGGGGGGGGGAGGGGGGGGGGGGGGGGGCACCGAAACGGCCCTGGCCCTCGGTAGAGACCCGACACACCGCGCAATTGCCGTGGACCGCTCCCCCCCAAAACCCCAAACCCCAAACCCAAACCCAAACCCATACCCAAACCCAAACCCACACCCAGTCAGTCACTACCCCCAACTCAAGGGTACCCCCACACTTCCCGTTGTAGGAAAGGAAAAGCCAGAACTGTCCCAATCCTCGGGGGAGCGGTTCTACGAGGCCAACCGGATCAAAAAGGACTGGAGGATCTTAGGCAAGTACCTGGCGGGGCGTGGGGGGGAACCAGTCCCCCCCCAGGGCCTCAAGAAAGGGGGAGAAAGGGGAGATAGGGGGAGAACCCTTCCCACCCCAAGGCGCGGTCCAGAATAGGCACGCGCGCAGTTTCGGCCACAAAACCTCCACAAACCCCGGCCTCCGGGATCGTCAGACATAAAGGGTGTGGGTGCCCCTCTCGGGGGACCTGGGGGTGATTTGGGGGGACCCCCCCCCCCCCCCCCCCTTCTCAGGGCACGCAGCGCGTGCCGCCCTATAGCAACTCGCGCATCACCATGCTCTTCCGCGACTTCCTCTCCGGCTCGGGACAGGCGAGAGCGCCCGAGAGCGCCCGAGAGCGCCCGAGAGCCCCCACCACCACCACCACCACCACCACCACCACCACCACCACCACCACCACCACCACCACCACCACCACACACGCACGCACGCACGCACGCACGCACGCACGCACGCACACACACACACACACACACACACACACACACACACACACACCGGGGCTCTCCTCTCACGCCGCCCTGATGCCGGCCTCTCGCCCCCTCGCAGACCGTCGTCATCGCCGCGCTCAACCCGCGCGCGATCGACGCGCAGTCGACGCTCGAGACGCTGCGCTTCGCTTCGGTGGCGCAGCAAATCAAGGCGAGCCGCAGCCAGCAGCCCCCCGTCGTCCCCCGTCCCCCGTCCTACCCTGACCTGCCCCTCTCCCGCCGCCTTCCTCCATCCCCCTCGCCCTCGCCCCTCTACCCCCCCCCCCCCCCCCTTTCTCGCCAGACGAGGCCCGCGCCGGCGCCCGCCAAGGAGGCGCCCGCCAAGGAGGCGCCCAAGAGGCCGCCCGCCTCGCAGTCTGCGTCGGAGCGGACCTCGGACGGCGGCGGAGACGCGCCGGACAGCTACGTGCTCTACGAGCAGGCCGTCGCGACACGCGGCCCGGGATTGTGGCCCGAGCCCGAGATGTGGCGCGGGATTGTGGCGCGGGATTGTGGCGCGAGATGTGGCCGAGGTCGTTCTGTGCGAGCAAGGCCCTCCCGCCGCCGCCTCCACCCTCTCCACCGCCGTCTTCCCGAGCCTCTCCACCGCCACCACCGCCGCCGCCGTCCCCGCCGCCACCTCCATGACCCCCTCCCTCACCGCCCCTGGCCCTCACCGCCCCCGGCCCTCCCCCCCTCCGCCCTGCACCAGGTCCTCGCGCTGCAGGAGCGGCTGCAGCAGCTCGAGGCGGAGCGACTCGGCGACGAGCGGCGGCGGGCCCGCGAGGGGCTCCGAAGGGGAGCAGTCGATCTCACTCTTCAGTGATTGCATGGCTCAGGCGATGAGCGGCGGATCCGCGAGGAGGTGTCCGCGGAGATGCAGCAGCACATGGAGGAGATGCAGCTTGCGCCTAGATGCGACAGATCTCCCCCTATCTCCCCATATCCCGCAGCAGCACATGGAGGAGATGCAGCCCGCGCCTAGATGCGGCAGATTCTCTCTCCCTCTCCCTCTCTCTCCCTCTCTCTCCCTCTCTCTCCCTCTCTCTCCCTCTCTCTCCCTCTCTCTCCCTCTCTCTCCCTCTCTCTCCCTCTCTCTCCCTCTCTCTCCCTCCCTCCCTCTCCCTCTCCCTCTCCCTTCCTCTCCCTCTCCCTCTCCCTCTCCCTCTCCCTCTCCCTCTCCCTCTCCCTCTCCCTCTCCCTCTCCCTCTCCCTCTCCCTCTCCCTCTCCCTCTCCCTCCCTCTCCCTCTCCCTCTCTCTCTCCCGACGACAACCCCAAAAGACGCGCTTCGGCGGTCTCTCCAGCTGTACTCCGCCGCTCGCAACTACCTTGCGCGGCGTCCGAGGAACACCGCACTACACCGCACTGCACCGCCCGAGGACCGTCTTCCAGACCCTCCCCGCGGCGTGGCGACGCGGGCACGAGGGCCTCACGCCACACCCCCCGCCTCTCCCCGCCTCTCCCCACAGGCACGAGAGCCTCACCCACTCCAACCAGGAGCAGCTCGCGTCGACCGAAGAGTCGTACCACAAGAAGATGCTGCTGCACAAAGGGAGGCACGAGCAGAGTGCAGTCGACGGCGCGCGAGAGACGCCTCACCTCACACACCCTCCCACACACCCTCCCACCTCCCACACACCCTCCCACCTCCCACACACCCTCCCGCCTCACACACACCTCTACCTCGCCGCAGCGCCGCCTCACCCGCACACCTCCCGCCCCCGCCCGGCAGGCCACGTCGAGATGCAAAAGCAGCACCGCGACTCCGCGCGCAAGGACATCGAGACGCTCTCGCGCATCTCCTCCACAAACGCGCAGCTCGAGGCCGCGCGCGCCGAGGTGCAGCGTCTCACTGCAAAGCTCGCCGAGGCGGGCTCGGCCGGCGGCGCGGCGGCGGCCAGGCCGGAGCCCGACACTCTCAGGCGCACCGCCCGCCCCCACCGGCTCCTTTCCCCACGACCCCCCCCCCACCCCCCACCCCCCACCCCCCACAGGCAGGCACCCCCACGCCACCACAGGCAGGCACCCCCACCCGCCACACGCACGCAGGCACACGCACGCCCCCATCCGGCCGCCCGTCCGTGGTCCATCTGTGCTGACATCGCTGACTCCCCCCCCCCCCGCCTCTCTCTCAAGGCGCGAGGCGGCGGAGGCGGTCGAGGCGCGACAGCGCTGGCCGAGGCCGCGACGTGTCCACGACACAAGCCGACATGTCCGAGACATGTCCGCAGGCGCGCCAGCTGGCCGAGGGCGCGCAGGCGCAGGCGGAGGGCGCGCTCCAGGTGGCAAAGGCGGATGCTGCCGCCGCAAGGGCAACGGCGACCGCCGCCGAGGCTCGCGCCACCGCCGCCGAGGCTCGCGCCACCGCCGCCGAGGGGCGCGCCACCGCCGCCGAGGGGCGCGCCACCGCCGCCGAGGGGCGCGCGGCGGAGCTCGAGGAGCGGCGCATTAGAGTGGGGACGTACCACGTTCCCGAGCCGTGCCCCCCACCCAGCACAGTCCCAGCACAGTCCCAGCACAGTCCCAGCACAGTCCCAGCACAGTCCCAGCACAGTCGTACCCCCTTGTCCTCACGCGGGGCTCTCGAGCACGCGGCGCGAGGCTGCGCTCCTCCTGCCCTCACCCCCGGTCCCGGTGTGTGGTCGCGCCGCAGGAGCGGTGCGCCGCGGCCGCCGGCGACGCGGAGAGGGTGGGCAAGAAGCTGCAGGCGGCGGAGGCGGAGGCGGCTGGCCTGCGTGCACAGATCGCCACCCTCCCTCCGGTCATGCCGCCGCCGCTCCTCGTCGCCTCCTCCTCCGAGTCGGGTGCGCGGGCCCTAGCGGCGGGAGTCTCTCCCCGTATCTCCCCGTATCTCCCCGTATCTCCCCGTATCTCCCCGTATCTCCCCGTATCTCCCCGTATCTCGGGCCCTAGCGGCGGGAGTCTCTCCCCGTATCTCCCCGTATCTCGGGCCCTAGCGGCGGGAGTCTCTCCCCGTAACTCCCTAAGAATAGTGCAAGTGGGGAGGATGTGACTTGGTGCGTGCGCGAGGTAGGTGCGCAGGTGGAGCCGCGACCGGCCGAGGTGAGAGCCCCCCCCCTTCTCTCGAGATACAGGGAGATACGACCTCCCCGTCTCTCGCCTCTCTTAAGCACGGCCGGACCCACATAGCGCGGCTTTCGCCCCGCACGCACACACATGGTGCCGCGCCGTTGTTGCGCCCCTCTCGGTGGCCCGTCGCCGGCCGCTCACCTCTGTCCGGACCGCCCGATGCGCAGGCGGTCGCCGGCACAGCCGCCGCGGCGGACAGAGTCCTCTCCCCTAAGCGGTGAGCTGCTGCCCCCGCTGCTCTCCCGACCACCTAACCACCACCACCACAACCACCCCCGCCCCTCTCCACACACACGCGCCAGCGCCGCGCCCCGACACTTGCCCCTCCGCCCGCTGCCAGCGCCCCGACAGCTCCCCCTCCGCCCGCTTCCCGCGCCCGACACACCCGCCGTCTGCCGCTACCGCAGGGGGCTCGAGTCCTCGATCAACCGGGCCGCGGCCGCGGCGGGCGGCGGGGGCGCGTCGCCCGCCAAGAAGGCACGCGGTTCCTTCCGCGCGTCCGAGGAGGAGGAGGAGGAGGGCGGCGGAGAGGCGCGCGGAGCTCGCGCCGGCGGCTGGCCCCGAGGCGGCGCCGAGGTTAAAGCCGAGACGGCCCGAGGCTAGGCGGCGGGACTGAAGCCCAAGCCGAGCAAGCTCGGCGGCCTGCTGCGCAACCTCGGCGGAAAGGGCAAGGCGGACGGCTCGCCGAGCGTGGAGCAGCTCTCAAACTTCTTCGGCGGGCGCTCCTCGCGCGCCTCCACCTCGGTGAGCGGCTGCCTCGCCCTCCCCCTCCCCGCCGCCCTCCCCGCCGCCCTCCCCGCGCCTTGCCGCCCTCCCCACCCGTCGCCTCAGCGCACTTGCAGAGCCCTCCTCGGAGAAGAGGAGGGAGGATCCTTCCAGCCTTCTCGCCCCCTCACCTCCTCGGCCCCCTCACCTCCTCAGCACACTCTCGTCGCTGCTCCGCGCGCGTGTATGCAAAGCCTCCTCGCCGTGCTCCTCATGCTGGCCAAACCCTCCTTTCCGCCGCCGCCACCCCTGCTTGCCTGCTCGACACACCTCTCTCCTCACCACCCCTTCCCGGTTTTGACTGCCTGCCCGCCTGCTGCCCTCTCCCAGAGCCCCGCGCTCGTCCGCCTGCTCCACCCCACCGACACTGCGACGTACAGTCCTCCCGCCATTACCACCAGCCC